ATTCAGTGAAGTGTCGCGGGCCGGATTATATTGCTCTGCGGGCCGGATCCGGCCCGCGGACCGTAGGTTGAGGAACCCTGCTCTAAAATATCATGAAATATATATATATTCACCTGGGGTGGCACTGGACACTTGATAGTTGTCCGAGGGGTCGTCCTGAAAAAAGCTTTGGAACCCCTGGGTTAGACTTTTCTATATTCATTCAGATGAGAAAAAGTCGGCCTAATTATACATCGAACCACTTATAAGAAGTCTAAATTCGACTCTGTGGTCTCTTGACGGAGTAGAGCGTGCGTAAAAACGACGTATGGAAGCATATAAATGCTCTGTACACACTATTTTTAGTGTGAGTCGCCTAAAGGGAATTTGGCGCGCATCGTAATCATATCAGCCTTCTTATTCTCCACGATAATTATCACGCCTATCTTATCGAGATTAAGACGTTTTACATACCATTCTTGTCTAATATGAATCTGGTCCGCCAATGTTCGAAACGGAAGGCAGGTGTTGTTTCTACATGAATAATGTATTAATACATGACTACCCTTTCACATAATATTGGATTAATGTCAGAGTTCTCGGAGTAGAAAAACCACAATATGACACTGATTGAATGTATGTTGTGAGAAAATTTAGCCCTGCAGAGAAGGCGATTTTTTATCTTCGCTCCGAACAAAGCTCAAGACAAAAGAGGCCACTAATTCTCCATGACGGAGCGTACGTAACCGCTTATCAAAGTCCGTACATTTGGAATGTTAAATCAGGCCTTTTTTATATGATTTTGGCTGGTAAATGAATTAGCTTATTAAATAGCAATCAATTTGTCTATTTATCATTCCAAAAGTATGGACTTGGTTGCGGATTACAGGTAACGTGAACCCCCCTGTGGCGGCTAGTCTCATCCTCTAGCGCGGGGGTGTGTACGATTTTTTGTCAGTGGGCCAATCAGCTTTAGACATTATGTATTTTTATCAAGCGCCTTTTCAAACCTAAACTGTCGGATTAAGATTTTATGCTTGATGTGGGAAAATCGGAGTGTTGACAAGGGCCACACGAAATAGCTTGGTGGCCCGCGGGCCGCTTGCTGCACATTCATAATTCAGCGCGTAATGATCCTGGAACATCTTGCAAATCAGACCGAAAATTTTAAAAAAGGTTGAATTTTACTTGACAAACTAAAGAAGTTTTTTAGATTAAATTGAATCTCAGTTTTAAACTTGTAAAAAGTTATCAGACGTCGATTGTAAATCTTAAATTTGATTGAATTGTTGTCGTGATTCAATATAAAAATCCTGTAATTCTGATCAAAAGTTTAAAAAATATGAAAGATTTTTTTCAAATTGTTTTACGTCGCGACTCTCGCTTCGTACAAGGCCATGTGCATGAGCCACTAATATCCCACGATGCTGTTATTTAGAATGGGCGGAATAATTCGGATTCGGTATTATATTGAAAACCCAGATTTTAATTAGTAATCAGAAGTCGATCACTAAATATGATTGAATTGAATTAATTTATTATTCACGGGTATTTGCTCCTCAGACAAATTATAAAAACTGGCATTATGCAAGAAATGTCCCCAAGTTCCTACTTATCGCCAAACAAGTCTATTGTTGTTACCCCAAACTCTCGTGATACCAAAAAAATACATGAAATCGAGTTTTCTATTATCTTCGTAAAATATTATTGGTTCGCAATGAGCTATGCAGCGCGCCTCAGCATGCGCCGATAAAGTAATGCTTTATAGATAACATCGCTAACGGAAAGCGAAAAATATAAATATCCGTTTCACCACAATGACGTTATTTTTCATCGCTTTTTATTGTATTGCGCGGTGTTGGTTGTTTGACCACATTATTATTTACTGTGGTTTGACTACCAAAGCCTCGCTCATCAATAAAAACAGTACTCTGATAATCGAAATATTATAACCTAAAATGCTTAATTAGATACTCAAACCTTGGGTGTCGCTGCTAGATAACCAGCTTTGGTTCCCCGCGTCTTCCCTTTCTCAGTGAAATTTTGATTCAACATAATTTCTTCGAACTTTGCATGCTATTTTTTTACTGGATGGAAAAAATATACTTGACTATGACTATGCCCGATGGTCTACTCTCGCTTTTCATAGCACCAGCGACGTGCCAAACTTGTCTGCTGCCCAGGGCGAGTCTCTGATAATGATGTCGCTTGTACCTAACTAAAATATTTCGGGAGATAAACAAATTATAGATGTTGTTTTACATGAGAATAAATAAATTTCAAGTTCAAGTAAGAGTGGAATGTTTGTGATATTGCGCCATATCACGCAATGACGCGACGAGCACATATCGTTAAAAACATGTGCAATTAACGCGAATTATGGCCCTTCCCTAACATAGGGGTATCCAGAGATAAACAAAAGAAAATTCAATTTTGTTTTTGAATGCAATTTAGCGGCATTTTCAGTGAAACGTAAATTCTTACGTCTACCTCAAGTTTCAAAACCATTTTGTTCTATTCTTGAACGATTTACTAAAAACGGACGTTTTCTGACTAACGATACCCATTTCTCCAAGTCTAAATGAACCAACCGAAATAGATGGAAATGAGCTATTAGATAGTTTGGATTACTTCGACATCGAAGCAAGTCTGCAGTGGCAGCCTTTATCTAGCTTTCTTTGAAGCAGAAGACAAAGTTTTGTCAATATACACCCCCCCCCCCCCAACAAATTTTGGGCTGGCTACGACCTTGTCCCCTAGGCCCGCCTCGCTGTTTTTAGTTGGGCCCCGACATCAAGTATTGATTCAATCGGTGTCTACCTACGCGTAATGCACCACCATAATTATATAAAGATTTAATAGTTCTTGGCATTTCAGTGGGGACTCGTAACTTTGCTCAGAGATGATTTTACTTTACTTCTGATGCGCCGCGATACTTCTATATGGTTTCAGTAAATCTTGGCATTTCAATGGTCGCCAATAACTTACACTTGCTTTGAGCGAATCTCTTAAAAATAATAAAAGAAGCCTTGTACATGATTTCAATAATGATAATTTAGTCACTGGAGCTATCAAAATAACGCTCAAATTTTAATTAATTTACAATTTTTTTCATATTGGTCGTTCATATCGATCGCGATTGACACCCTGTTTGATTCTCTTATGACGTTACATTGAACAATACACAGATTAGTTTTAATGAATTATGAATGAGTAAATGGATTTAATACGTAACAACTGGACAACATATGTCCACTGTGACGCAAAAAACGTCACAGATGAATACCGTGATAATTCAATAATCATATAAAGACTTGTCGTCAATTAAGTATGTGTTTATAATAGCTATGAATATTAAATATAGCGTTATTTGGCTTTGGATATATTGCAGTGCTTACCGTGTTTCCCCGAAAATAAGACTGGGTTTAATTTCAATTTTCTTCCGAAAAATAACACCAAGGCTTATTTTCGGGGGATGTATTTTCATTTATCAAAAACAAAATTACAAAACAGATAATTAGGAGATTTTCAAATGCACAAAATATTAAAACCCATATCTATTTACTTATAAATAACACGTTTTTATTCTAAATAGCTTCAAAACATAGATTATTCATCATTTAAAACGCGTAGTGATTTCTTGCTATCGACTAAGTGTCGAGTAATGACTGCCGTCAATATTCATGTTTATTTGTTTGTGTTTGTGACTCGTTTCTTTCTTCTTTGGTAAGTGAACGCGTTTAATACGTTTTAAACCTATTTTATTAGGTTTTGTTCACTTTCCAGATTCTTCGCCTTAATCTTTTGTGTATATATGTTTATTTTGTTTTTGCGAATGAATCGAAATAAAATCTTATCTTATCTTATCTTAAGTCAAAAAAAAATTCTGTTTTAATGACTAGGTCCTGTTCTGAGGGGCTTATATTAAAATTTTTGAAATCAGGGCTAGGTCTTATTTTCGGGGAAACATCGTATATGGCGAGACGTGTGCATTTCCGCATAACACGTTACCACGTTTTAAAATAAAAAATTGGCAGTTATCCAGTTCGGATTCAGAATGATTTGAAAATTTGAATTTCCAGCACAATCTGTATTCTCACCCAAACCCTAATTGGATAATTACTAATTTTTTTTAGTTTGAGCTGTGGCGAAGTGTTTTCCTCAAATTTCACATTTTTGCATTAGTGGCGGGACTTTGTACAAAAGATCCAACCAATTTTCTCCAGTCAAGTACAATACATACTATTTAAACACTGAAGATGGCCACCGTTTCATACCGGTCGAACTGGGAATGTTTACTTGACTGGGAATGCCCTTATCAGCGCGTACTCGTGGAAGTCCAAAGTACGATTAATCGACACTATAACGCATTTGAGCAAACAAAGAAACGCAAAGATTACATTTATCAAGAATTCTTAACCCATGTGACCGGAAGACATCGAACACAATTGGGGCTTATTTGATCGATTATGATGTCAAACATGAATAAATCAGGTGGTTGGGGCGATGCCCAAATAACGGTATTAAATTCTTGTTCGAAATGACGGGTTTTATGTCGATTCCCATGTGACAATCGATAAGTTGTTTTTATATAGTCCCCGTAGCTTTCTTGGCCCATCAGTGGTTGTAACTTCGCGAAACGTTATTGCCCAGAGCACTGGACAGCGAGCAATATAACTTTACAATCTAGCAGAAGTGCCAACCCCCAAAAAATACACTCGAACGCATGCCCATAATGTTCAATTCTCTAAAACAATTTCAAATATAGCTGAATAATGCCCCACCACCGTTTAGTTCAAAATAAACCAAACTAAACACCAATTTATTGAGCTCTTCCTTTATTCCGTTTGTTTGATAGATTTGGGTTATTGCCCAACTTTTCCGTATATTCTGAAATAACATAAACCCATTAACAGTAATCATTTGAATTAATCCCAAACCTGAACTGACAACCAAGTAATAGTTCCTGACATATCAACACTGCGAAAGTCTACCCACTAAGAAAAGAATGAATCCCAATATATTTAAAACAATTTACATTTATTATTTTCTTTCTACTTTACGCACAATAATAATAATAATATACAATACAGTACATACAGGGGCGGAAAAATTGCACATCTAACAAATGCAGTATCCATCATATGTATAAGCCAAAGATAGTAGCATTTACCCAAACATAGGGATGGCTAAATCGAGGACCGGGACTCTTAGTTTAACATGTTTTCAAACTGCCTGGGATGGCGTCAAAATTTTGAATTTCCTGGAGTCAGATATCCATTTTCAATGGTAATAATTAAAGTCTAAAAGTTTGAATTTTTAAAAGTTTATTTTTTAGATGGCTAAAACAAGGGCAATGGATTTTTAAATTAGCATGTTTTCACTCGAGTTGAACTGCCCAGGGTCAGTGTCTAAATTATGAATTTCCCAGATTATCAATGGAGATAAATAGAGTGAAATTATTCTCAGAGACTCAAAAGTTAAAGGAGGCTTGAATACAAAAAGTTTTCATTGTCAAAAATGGATTTTTTTTAGAGTTCGAAGTTAAGTCAAAAGTGTTTATAGTTGCCAGTCAGGGTCAAATTTTTCTCAACATGATGCTAAATTCCACATGGATGGCAGAAACTGAAACATCGCATTTTGTTTAAGGCATGTCAAGTGAATTTATGGTAGTTTTAAAATACACGAAATATATACCATTCAAAAAATTAGGTTATATCCAAAAACAAAGTTATTTTTTGCCAATTTTAAAATGTAAGAATCAGGGAAATATCACCATATTAAGCTATTTATTTTAGAGAGCCCCTGCAATATATGAAAAATTCGTCACCCAAGATTTATTCTTAATGAACGCCGAAACATTTTCTGAACACAACAGCACTTATTTCAGTCATCCCTGGATATTAAAGCACAAAATTTCCAACGATCAAAAAAAAATAGTATAACAAAAACTGATCAAGATGGATAAAGTCTAGCATAAATCAGACGTACCAAGGGATATTTATACAGTAGACAACATATAAGCATAAATGAAGAAATGGTTTACATAGCATGGCCCACTAGAGAGACTAGAGGCTTTATACTTAAAAACAGTATAGTAACTTATCTCACAAACTAAATTTGAAATTTCTGAATTTCTACATTGTTATTCATATCTTTCAAATTTTTCTCGAAAACTTGATTTTGAATTTTCCAAATTTCATGTTTTTATTCATTTCTCTAACATTTGGCTCTAAGTAAGCCCTGTAGAAGTCGCTTAGGCAGCCATTGAAAATGTCAATGCATAAATAAAATTCTAATTTTTCAGAATAAATTTCAAAAAATTTGAATTTTTGACCAATCTACTTTGAACAGGGTCCTGTATAAGTCCTGCACCCCAGCTCGGCACATATTAGTGACAGCTGACAGTGTTTACAACATTATTACATCACATAGAAAGAAAGTAGTCAGTTTTATTTATAGCATTAAAAAGGAAAGTACGGCAGAAAGTCAACATTTTTATATGGATAATATTATATATCCTACATACAGCAAAGTTTTTCTCTCAGGTCACATTTTCAAATTCTCAAGATCGAACAAAAAAAATTCAACCAATTAAATTAAGCAGAACTGGCATCTTTATTTTAGGATTTAAAATTCATAAGAAAAACAGCGCTACCATGACTAAGTATTGATCTGAAAATATAACTAAATGCAGAAATGTAATTAAATCTCTAAATTAAGCGAAATACCAATATTTCAAACTGAAATCAGTGCTACCACGAAAACAGATAGGACTGCAAATTGTAAGAAAAGTTTTCCACATTTTAACAGACATATAGACTTATACAAGGAAACTTTAATAGTGCAAGAAACAAATATATACAAAGGCCGGTGGTCACGTACTTAAAACTGTTTTGCGAACCCCACAGAGTTTCTCAGATGAAAAGTGAAAAATGCCACCAACTCAGTCAAAAAATCTTGCTAGATTTACCCATTTATTATTTAATTGGTTAATAATTCTTATTCATGACATTAACTGGAGCGAAGGGTGTAATTCGCTAAATAATTAAGCAGTCTTTCCTGATAAATATAAAAAAATTTGAATATATTGGAATCAGTCAAGTCAAATAAATGAAAGAACTGAGGAATTTTTTTTGGTTATCGGGAGCCTTTAAACCAGGACAAAGTTTTAGACTTCTAAAGTAAAAGTATGAATTGTCAATTGTGCAGCAAGATTCTTGAATGTCTTAGAATAGCGATCTTTGATTTGTTACAGCCTCCTTGCATTACAAATCCACCAGTGCAAAAGCATAAGTTGGTCCCACAGACACATACTTTTTATAAATGTCATAATTTTTTAATTTCAAACATGGATGAATAAAACCCAACACAGAACAGACAATTATAAGAAACTCTGGTGGTAGCACAGTAAGCAGGGTTGGCTTAAACATCATTATTAAAGCCTTTTTATACATTAAAAATGCTGTTGCAAAAGAAATCCCGCTAATTTTGTCAGTAAGTCTTTATTTTAACCACTTTAATATGAGAGGAAATCTTAACAGCATCCCCCACCGTCGCTCTGTTGCCGGGGACGATTCCCTGAAAGGCCTGATGATGAAGGGGAGTGTTGGGGGCCAATTTTAATCCCGTTTGCTTCATTGTTGATGTCAAAAACCCCTTCCTGAATTTTTTCGTAAATCTCTTTGGCTGTATCAATGAATGCATCTTCTACGTTTGCCGCTGTCTTTGCAGATGTCTCCATGAATACGAGACCATGCTCCCGTGCAAACGCTTCTCCTAAAAATAAAAAATTATTCAATAAAAGTCCTACTAAAAATATGTATATGTAACTAATTATGCACATTATATGCCATGTAAATGTGTTGTAAAAAAATACATTTTATAAACATAACTTACAGATTTACAAAAGCAAAACAATAAGCCTCGTGACAAAATTAAATCTAATCGCAATCTCAACAAATTCCTTGAGCAATTTTTTAGCTAATATATCAAAGTTTGACTGTTGCAGCATCAGGCGGGCCAGATTGAATTATCCAACCGGCAGGGTCTGGCCCATGGGCTGCAGTTTGCTCATGCCAGATTTAGAAAGACAGTTACAGTGTGTGTAAGGTGTTAGGCATTAGATTTGGTCGCTTAAAACCAGAAGAAGGACATTCGAATTGAGTTATCAGGCGTCGGATAGAAAAATTTAAAAAACAGACATTAATTCTTATACCTTCTTCCTTTTTGACTTCACGCCGAGCTTCCAGATCGCTTTTATTTCCGATTAACATGATAACCATATTAGATGAGGAATGTTGTCGAGCGTCCTCCAGCCACGTCGTCAGATGGTTGAAAGTATCACGTCTTGTGATGTCATAAACGAGTAGAGCGCCTGCGGCTCCACGATAATATGACCTTGTGATTGAACGAAATGACTCTTGGCCTGCTGTATCCCAGATTTGTAGTTTTATCTGTTTTCCGTCAATTGTGATCATCCGAGCGCCGAATTCGACACCGATCGTTAAATCGTGGACAGGTTGAAATCTTTTGTCAGTAAATTGTAACAGAAGACACGACTTTCCGACGCCGGTATCTCCGATGATAATATATTTGAACAAATATGCGTACGACATTTTGCACAATTCAAAAAATACGACAATTCTAATGAGGATACGTAAATCACCAAGATTATTTAAACTAAATTTGAAGTCTGGAAAAATTTTTATAATAAGCTTTTTATCATAACAAAAAGAGATCAAGTTTCAGATTTTACCTATGAGTGCGATACTATTTCTGCGGATAGATTAAACTTGACTTCTACCAGTCTACTGTGTTAGAAACTCAAAATCTCACTGAATAAACATGTGTCTGGAAACACTTAGTGTATGGATAGCCTACCACACATAAGATTATTTACACTCCCAAACTGCATAAGTTGCAAAACATCTGGTGAAACTGTAAAATGAATATCAATCAATCAATCATCATTTATTCGTCAACACATACCTACTGGCATAGTATTATTAGGACTTTAAGAGATACACAATCTGACAATTCAGCAATTAAAATTAAAAGTTGTTACCAAAAAAAACAGTGTGTGTTGACTCGCCTAAAAGCAGAGCAGCAGAGTGTAGCAACTGCCAGACTTCTGATACAGTTAGCCTGTGACCGCACGAGCCAATTTACAAATTCGGAAACTAGCGTTTCTCCCGCATTTTACTTAACAGGCTAGACTATATCTTATGCAATTAACGACTCTTTGAATACAAAACCTGATGCCGCCACATTAAATTAACACTGCGTGACTCACAAATCATTTTTAAAAAGTGTGTTTCCCATGGGCAGACTGGTTACACAACAGCTTGCCTGTTTCCGGTCATTAATGCTCGCAGACATGCGCGCAACGGGGTCCCATTGATGAGATAATTACAATACATAAGCCGTCCTATATTAACAGAATATTTGAACAACGCTAACAGCTTTTTATCTCTCATTAAAATGGGATTAAAATTGTTTATTTGAGCGAAAATCGATTGGTATAAGCAAGGCAATCCATCAACCAGACCTTCGCAGTTCACAAAGCAATAAACGTTGTGGTGGTGTAAGGAGCGTGATCGAAAACTTACAATGCTGTGCTGGGTTACTCATTTATTCAAGACATTTAAAACGACATATAATATGAGATAGAATTTTCTTATATCCAAAAGGTAAGCCGATATTAAAGTTTAAATACCCTGTGGCCTCTAACCCGGTTACCCGTACCAGTCTATAGCTTTCTACATCCATGCAATAGATGACTCCAACCACTAATAACTACGACGTTGCGTGCGTCATGCACCAAGAATTACGTGACGTGACAATCGTATTGACGACGTTAAAATACCGTTGCCAGATAGTATTGCTTTGAAACATGTGTGATTTGGAAAAACAAGCTGGTCTTGCTTACACTAGAAATTTCAATTATTTAACGGCTATTAGGTTGTTACTTCAAACCACAGCGCCAACAGAAGATTCGAGAGATTCTTTCGCGACCCCTCATCAACTGCTAGGAGTCAAAATGTTTTTCGTTTTTTTATTTATTACATGTGTATTGTCGTGAAAAAATATCTGAATCTGATATGACCACGGTTTAACTATGCAAATCAAAATGCGCTCCCCAAGTTTAGTTTGTGATATGGATATTAACTGAAAATTACGATTTTGTGATACAAAATAAATTTGTCTTTACTTTTTTTAGGTAACTTAACTTCACAAGCCGTGCCACCGCGGCCGCATTGGTTGCAGTGGCACAAGGCCGGCTCTTCTACGATTTTTGCAAAAGCTAAACGCGCTTCGACACGGAATGGAGTCAAATACGGGATATAATTTACATATTAATCCATGGGGGTAGGAAAGCCGCTAAGACGACCCAATCATATGGCGAACCAAAGCCTGCCTCTCGTCCAATTACCAGTTCATGTGAGGCATGGGATTAGTTCGCCAGTCATTTGTTTTCAGATAAATAAACGTGATGGCGGGAGAAGCCGTGACCGGCCAGCGATTACGGGAAGCACCCTACGGCGGCGAAGAGTCGAGGAATTCTTTTTCACATCCAGGAGTTCTTTCTCTCATCCCTACATGGGATTCGAACCTGCAAACCCACGCAGGGTAATCATAGATGCGGTGGCGAGCGTATTCCTTACCTTTAGCTCGATGCCCCACACTTCCGGAGCCCACCTCAGAGTCAACGACTCGAAGTTGTTGTACTTCAGCCGTTTGATCGCCTCACGTGATCATGGACCTTTCCACGAGCGTCGACTTCCTCGTTTACTTCGTGACATTGGCCAATCAGCAAATTGCAAAAAGTGACGTAACAATGCGCCCTTTTCGCATCCGCTCAGACACTTTTCTCACTCAGACAGATTTTCAAGCGTGGTCCTAAACATTACCTCGTTTTCGCATTTTTGAACTTTATTCGTTAGTTTTCAGTTGTGTTTTGGAAACTTAAATGTAAATCAGATAATTCAATGGTCACCCTGTCTTCCTAGGAGTTTTAATTTAATTGCAGTAATAAAAAAATAGTGTAGAAATAGCTGTGATAGACTAGGCTAAAATTCTTTAACGGTACTTTTAAAAAACAGATTGTTGTATGCGATGAATCATAATGATGGTATGAAACACATACCCCATTTCAGAGGCGCCAACTCGCAAAATCACTCTTAAAATAGCCCCGAATATTTTGCAATGGTAAAGTATAGGACGAATTTTTTGGGGGTCAAAGGTCGGGGAAAGGTCCATTGTGATCTGACTTTGCCCGATTTGGATCGTCAAAATCTCTTCTCTCTAAGTCTAAACAGTGGTTTATCCTGCGACCTATTTCTCAGATAATGTAGTAGACGCCCATCCATAAAAGTACAAGATTAAAAAAATAAATATATATTTGGTAACTAAAACATGGAAACGTATTGCCAGTAATATAATAATGATATGCATAAAATCTTATTGGATTCTCTTCAAATGAATAGTATGGGCTCAGTGTTAGGTTATTACATATATATATTGAAATATAATATCAGTAGGTAATGGACGGCGGATCAGTTTCTTTAATTTCTCGCATTTTTGCACGTCTAGCTTATTAGCAATTAAAACGAACTCTAGCATAAGTTTATAAATAATAAAAAAGGCAAAAAAATTGTAAAATAGGAATTATCAGAATAAAGCTGTTCGTTGATAAACGAGTTGCTTGACCAGTTGTTGCAGTTGTCGACGACACTGTAACTAAATACAAAAGTCTTGTGATTAAACGCTGGATTTAGGAGTGTAAAACAGCGTTTCCAATCGGCGGCGCGTGGCCACCAATGGGCCACAGAGCAGTTGTAGGGGAGCACGATGCTAGGCAAAAAACTGATTTCGCTTCCCCCTAGACAAGTAATCTCCCCGTTATTCCTAGTTTCGTTGCTTGATGAGGTTAATTTCACAAGGTGTTTTTAAGCATGGATTGTTTGAACAGATTGAGATTTAAAATCTACTAATCACAATAACATTATAAACGAGAATATCGGCCAGAGACCGAAGACTTATTGATCGAAAGTTAGGGGATCCCCCAAAACAGCGCTCTTACTCCATAGTGACACCTTGTGTCTCATCACTAATTAATTAATAACTCGCTAATTATACGACATAATTCGCCCAAAATCAATAGGCTTCTGGTCCGAGATATGATGAAAGCATATGCAAAATCTGGAGCAGATTTAATCTCATTTTCGTGAGATATCGCTTGCATCTAACAGACAAACAAACATACAGACAGACAGACAAATACCTATCAACATACTTACCGATTAAAATCGATAAGTTAAAACACTGGAATAATAAATAAGGGGATCTATAAGCCACGCGCCCTAGAAGGTTGGAAACCACTGGTGTAGAAGTTGAAGATTTGAAATCTCAGATTCAAATCCCATGTCACCCGGAGTATAATAAAGTTGGTGAGCAATCCCAAACCAAAAAGATTAGGATTGAAACCAATACTAGGATAAGATTAACGTACTACCCCGGAGACAACAAGAACGATGAGACAGACGGCTTAATCCCATGGCAAACCACGGCCTCTCGTCCGGTTACCAGTCCATGTCGTGTATGGGATTAGTTAGCCAGGTATTTGTTTTCGGAAGCATGGACTTGATTCCGGTTCTTTTTTAAATAGTAGGTCCTAGTGTCAGTGGTACTTGTAACTCGAAGTGAAAGGCAAAAAAAACTTCGTGTAAAATACTGCTTAGCGATTCGCCTGGTTTTCCGGAAAGCTGTTTAGTCTTTAGTTCACCCATTGACGTTTATTTTAGTATTTACGTCCAATATAACTCTGGGTTTGAAAACTATTTGTAGATGTCAGTTTTCTACAAAGCCCACACTGATATTACGACGTCGACGTCTAACACATGGTATTTCCAACCTAATAATGAGTTTGAAGAATATTTGTAGTATCCACTTTGCAAAGGCCTAAAAATTACGTTTAACGCTTTTAACAATGTATAACCATGAATGTCAGACAAATCCATCAATCTTATTACATTGCAACGGTATTCAGACAAAGCCAAAACGTGTTTAATAAGCGACTGGCGTATTACGACAGTTTGTGAGGTTACTTATCCACGTCTTACTTTCCCAATTAACGTCTTTCCGGAAAACCCCATGGTGATGATATTTCATAAAATGCCAGACCGCAACGATTTTCTTCGACGAAATCTTAAACATACCAGCGTTGTTTGTACAGCGCCTTGTTCCAAGTGAGGGGAGTAAAAAGTCCCCCCTCAAAAAAAAAAAAGCATTGAGTCGCCAATCCTACCTTTTCTTCCATGAGGGGATATATGCTTTATCTTTGGTGAAGACGTTGGGTAAATTCTTCTATCTGTAGTATGAGCGATATAGCTTGGAGTACGAGCGCTTCGCCACCATTCCCACCAGTTTCCACTTGGTGTCGCTAAATTGCTAGCCGTTGTCGATTTTGTTGAAGCTAGAATTGAATAGGATTTACAAATTTATCTCGGAGGAGAGGAAAGTCCATAAGATGGCTATATCAACATTTTTTTATTCCGCCACATCTGCCGTCGAGCTCCTCAACAAACTTTGTGCTCTGAGGTTTCACGGAAACGAAGCGCCACTTCCATGTTCGTATGTCTTAGCTATCTCCATATGTCTTATATAATATCAGAGCAATGCTAACCTTATTGAATACGCATTACTCACATATTTTAAGGTTGAGGTGGTCGGAGTCTATTCCCTCGTTGTTGTATCCGGAATCATCTTCATTCTGTGAGGGCATTCCGCGCATTGTCGAGGTAAGTTTCCAAACAAGCGAAGTTGTTGAGCTTGTAGAAGTAGATAAGGTTGGCAGTGCTGGATCTGAGAAAAGAATCCAAGTTATTAAATCAGGAGCATTCAACCTACCGCGCGCGGGCCGAATACGCCCCAAAAGGAAAAATTGTGCGGCCCTTGGTGAAGTGTCAATTTTAAATGAGGTGAACCCGCGAAGCGAGTTTTTAATTTAGTTTAATCTGGTTTGTGCGAGTAATTCTAATTCCTTTGCGTTGCAAAGCCTCTACCTAAGTCCAGTTTATTATCTATGCCTGCTATGACGTTACAATGCCCTAACAGCTAGCTTGTGCAAAGCAAACAAACACGTCATAGGTCAATAACCAAATTTTTCATGCCTGGAACTACTAGATGTTGAATGAAAGTGCGGCCTGCGTTTTCACCCATTAATTTGTATCTGACCCTCCTGTATTAAAGGTTGCACCCCCCTGCTTTAAATCGGTTACTTGGGTTACTAGGGCTGGGCATCATCGAATATCTAATGATTTGAGAATCGAATCAAATATATATTTTTTTCGAATCGAATCTAGAATACTTGGAAGATATGTAGTTGCATTGGCTGTTTTATTGTAATAAGTCCTTCAGACACATAAATCAGCGAAAACACATAATCCAACACTCAGTCAACACTCGCTGAGTGTTCACACACAGTATGCAACCTGTTTCGTCAATAACTCACTTATAAGTCATATGTTAGAATTGCATATTAAAAATATGGCTTGAATAAAAAAAATGAGGGATTTGCCTAGACCTGCAGTCGGACAGAAAAAAGATGGCGGCAATTAGAAATTTTGGTGCTCCTGAAGTATGCGCACCAAGATGTCGCACAACCTGAAACCTAACCTGGTAGACAACGTGAGTTCAGGTTGTGCGCCATTTTGGTTACGGAAATAAATAAGGCAATCTATACTCGGGAAACATCCACTGCAGCCCCTTATATATATATCAGTGAGTGATTATGCAGAGCCTAGTTCGGAGTGTAAAATGTCGAATGTACAAAGTTGGAGAGTAGAGCCATAGTTGTCAAATTTGACGTAGCGTGGTTGAAATCAAAATTTTGATCTTTGCAGAAGGAAATGAAGATAGGGATTTTGTTTAAAACAAGTTCATAAAAGTTTTTGTCGTCAAAACATTTTCATATATAGTGAGTCTCACTTTTATAGTAGTCCAAGTCGAATTCATCTTCTTTCTTGTCAGTGTTTGTTTTTTGAGAGGTCGATGTAAGTTTCCAGTACCATGGAGTCGTGGTGGATCGTGTTGTAGCTGGTGGCGTCTTGGCTAAAGAATCGCAAATTTATTCCTTGGTTATTGATTTGGGTCGGCATATCGAATTCAGTATAAGGAAATTAAAAGTCTTCTACAGACTTCTTAAAACTTGAAGTTCTGAAAATTTGAATTCCATGAATACGTTGGTCACGAACAAAAGCCTTTATCACGACAACGACAATTCAGCAAAACGGCCATGTTTGCTGTGTCTCCAAAAACATTAAATCTCTCGTATCTCACATAACAAATACCATTCCTAAGTTATGTAAAGTCAAAATGGCTTGCTATGGACCAGTTCCCAACATTTTATGAATCGGGCCCCCCTTCCGAGGGGTTTTAGCTCTCACGGTCTCGTTTATGATTCCAGTGTTATTTTGATTGATCATTCTCGACAAAGTTAAAACACATGGTGAAATAACCTTATTAAGCAATGAAACTAGGAATAAATGGGAGTTTCCACGATAAGGAAAAAGTAAAATGAGTTAGCGCGTCTAGCAGTGTGGCCCTTTTCAACCGCTTGGGGGCCCCTGGTTATGAACCGCTGGTATAGACCGCAGGTTCAAAACCTGATTAGCTCGTGATCAGCTATAGTTAGACTAGGCTATCCAAACCCAAAGCGGCTTTCAATTGCTTTGAATCTTGTTCGGGGCTAAAAGATAGAAAAATAGGCCATGTATCTCACTAATAACAAATCTTACTTTTGTAGGAGTCCATGTCGAATTCATCTTCTTTATTGTATAGGGTTGTTGTATGAGAAGTGAATTTCTTTGTGGTAAATCGTGTCGCTGGCGGGGTCGGGGCTAAAAGAAATCGTGAATTTATGTTCCGGAAACTTTATTCTGCAACGCTTTACATTTTCTGCTATGCGCCAGATTAATAAAGTAAACGGTAACATTGGAAACTCAGATTGTAAGATTGTAAAAAAACACCATGGTTCCGGGTTTCCATGGGTATTGGTTTGGAGTGAAGAAAAGAGTATCTTTCCATCCTTAGTCTGAAAATCTGGAATCGATGGTCCAAACCCAAACTACAAGAATTTAGCAAAACAAATAATATGTATATTTCGTGCCCGTTGAACAATAAAAACCCTCATATCTCATGAAGCAAATCTCACTTTTATAGTCATCCAGGTCGAATTCATCTACTTGCTTTTCCGTGTTTGTTTTAGAAGTCGTCACTGAAAAAAATCGTAAATTTATGTTCCGCAACTTTCATTATGCAACGTTTTACATTCTCTGATATGCATCAGATTTAATGAAACACGGTAACATTAAACATCTGAACTTTATTGTTGGCAATTTAGTCTTGTCTCTATAGTTTTGAGTCTGAAGGGTTTAAAAAGCGTTTCAAGGTATGATATATTGGAACCTCTTGAAGTATGCGCACCAAGATGGCGCACAACCTGAACTTAGGTTGTGTACCAGGTGAGGGTTCAGGTTGTGCGACATCTTGGTGCGCATACTTCAGGAGTAGGATAGGATTTACATATTTATCCCGGGGGAGAGGAAAGCCGATAAGACGGCTTATCCATATGGCGAACCACGGCCTCTCGTCCGGTTACCATCCCAAGTCGGGTATGGGATAAGTCAAATTGTTTGTTTTCGGAAGCATGGACTTGGTGGTGGTGGAGGAAGCCGTAACCGACCAGCGGTTACGTGAACCACCCAACGACGGCGAGGAGTCCAGCAATCCTCTCGCACATAACCATGGGATGGGAGCCTGCGAACCCACGCAGAGTAATTAGAGGTGCAGTGGCGAGCGTATTCCTAACGCTTAGCCCGTTGAGCCACACCGTCGCGCCACAGTACCATATATTGTTATGTATAATACAAAAAACAAACATTTTTTTACATTCACAGAAGTTGGGTTGCGACCCTCATCCTCATGGCTATGCCACCACTGTAAATATCCATGCTTGGACCCTTTCCCTCTCACGTGAAATTTTTAATCCAAATTAATTATTCTTGTCCCGTTATTCTCATTTAAAAGGCAAATTTGCAAACAATCGAATAAAAGGAATTATGAGGTCGTGTTTCCTGGCGTTTTATTAGTCTTGTCAACATTTTTAGACTTGTTTCATATCTTACGGGGCTCCGTATGATATCTCTCTCTGGCAGTATGTTACCAGTTTTTCATTTTAGAGAGGTATTTTGAAATCCAGGGAAGTGGGAAATAATTTGCCATTAGTGATAGAACTACATATGCATATGTAACTTGTTAAAATGTGTTATGTATTTGACAGACAATCTGCACTAATGAATATGTCACTTTCTGGATATTCAAATACATTTATACTGAAGTAAGGTATCCAATGTGCGATATCAATATGTCACTTTCTGGATATTCAAATACATTTATACTGAAGTAAGGTATCCAATGTGCGATATCACACCTTAAAATTGGGGGGTTACAATTTTAGTGGATTTCCAACTCCTATAGAGGGGTGTAGGGAAATTACTGCCCTCTTGGGTATATAATAAATTCCACGGTATTACGATTTGACCATAGGCAATAAATAGTTGGAAAGCTGTCTTCTCATGCTAGTTGTAACTGTAAGATCAGTCAACCAGCTGCTGTTACAGATGGATGAATTTGACGGTGGAGGAAGCTGTAACAACACCTGTGGTATGTTGTCCTCCCTACAACAGCAATGAGTTCAGCGATCCTCTCGCATGTAACTCCCTGTATCACAAATAACAATCGTTACATCCTTTAGTTTATTAATTTTCATAACAATTAGATCCACACCATTTATTTATACACGCTTGGTGTTTCATATTTGCACGAAATACAACGTAAGGTATGACGTAACTACTACATAAAATGACGTCATAAAGCGGCAAAACATTTATTATCATCATGCACTACTTTTTTAAAAATAAAAACATACAAAACAGAAATTATTCAACTATAATTACTCCAGAGCAGTGTCCCCATCCAGAGATTTTTGATTTCGGGAATATAGGCAATTTGTTTAGATTCACGACCTCAAAATAGGGGTCCCTACCCCCTCAGTAGATCGCGAAAGGGCTCATATGGGGTTGCGGTAAAATCTTTTTTACCAATAACTAATGTCAAAACAAAATATATAAATTTCGTAAGATTTAGAACCAGTACTGAGAACCACCATCACCGAAATTCAATCTTTTGTGCAAGATTATGAAAGCACGTTGTTCCTATTAAAGGCATTGTAAATTTTATTATTTCTGTATTATTAAATTTTTTTTTATTTTTATTTTATTTAGTTCCTTTGAGTGTAATAAATTTGGCTGTGCCAAGTAGGTTGTGATCAAAAAAGTTTGAAAAACACTGGTTTAGACTTAAGCGAATCCAGGATCTAAATAGGCTGAAGGGGTTTGTTAGAAAAAAAATACGAATATGTGACGTCATACTAAAGATGACATCATCTTATCTAGAAAGTGACATCATACAAGGCTTAAAAACAAAAAATAATTGAATTTGATTCAATTTCTTGGGAAATACATCAGGTACCACTGCTCTGCATTCACTTTGTGAAAAACAATTATTTTGACAAAAGACAGCATAATTGCTGATGAAAGCAGCAAATAAAAATTTAAAAAAATGAACTTTTTGAGAAAATTGTTTTCTGATCAGCGTTATATTTGAGGAATCGTTGAGCCACAAAAATTATACATTACATAAGTACCGAACAATTGACAAAATCAAATCTTAGCGAAAACGTCACATAAAAGACAATTATTGCCCCATGTATCCCAATGAAAACAACCCATAGTTACCCAGGGTGAAATAAATTGGGTAGCAGTGTTGAAAGAAAGATTTCGGGCATTCAAAAAAGAGAAGTTCCTTAAATAAGTGTGGCTGATTGCACAAAGCCTTGTCTAAAAGAAACATCATTTATTGCCAGTGTACCCAACAAAAACAATATGTACTTAATACTCACTGTACCCCACATTCCCAATAGGTTCCATTTCATGGATTTTTCAAATTTTTCATTTTACTACTGAACTTAAGGGGATATGTAACAAAATAAAAGATGGCAAGTGTTTCACGGTAATCAAAAAAAATAAATTATTCGGTAAAATGTTAAAGTTACCCTTTCGATTAATTATTTATGTTTCAGTGCATAGTGCATTACCATAATTCTATATAGATCCGGTTGCTTTTCGCATTCAAGATATCGTAACTTTGCTCTGAGTCTTTTTCATTTTTAATTGAGTATGCATGGTAATTGTCTCAAAATATAATAAGTAAGGTTTAATATTAAAATTGTTCAATATAGCTCAATGCAGTGATTCCTGACCATTTATGCTCATGGCTCCCTTCTGGAGGCTTTTGGCACTCATGCCCCCTCCCCCCTCTGTTTACAGTTCCAGTGATATTTATAGTATTACTTTGATTGGTAGATTCCAAATCCCATTATTTTCAAACAATTCATGCTCAACAAAGTGAAGACACCCTGTGAAATAATGAAACTGGAAAGAATGAAAAGTTTTCTTGGCAAGGGAAAATAAAATCAGTCTTGCGTCTTTGTGGCCCCTCAAGGTCATTGAGGCTTTGTACCTTAGCTATGCTGATAAGTGAAACGTAACGGAGTCTTCTAAAAAATTCTGATCTAAATTGAAACTTTGATTGAAATAGCAAAAGCAATATTTACATCAAATCAAATATATAATGGACGGGACGCTTATGGTTCACAAGAAGATAAGCCATATTATCAGCTTTCCTCTCTCGAGTATGAATGTGATAACATACCTTCATAAGGTACACTTTAAAAATTCACAAAAGTATATCAATGAATCCCAGTTTTGAGCCTCAAAATTTTTCAAGCAAACAAAATTTAAAAACGCAACTAATGTAATGTCACAAAAAAATTGTCATGAGAAATAAGCTAAATTCCAATAAAAGCATTCTTCCTCTGTATTCCAAGCTTAAGAAGAAATGTCATGGCCATAGTGTTATTCAGATAAACATTGATAAAAGATAAAATGTGTAGCAATAAAGTCACGAGTCTCAAGTAAAATTCAAGTACAATCATTCAGCAAAAAGCCAGGTCTGCTGTGAACCCTTGTTATAAAATTTCTCCCTCTGGAAAGTTTCACCCATTGAAAATTTCCTTCATGGAATATTTTACGGAGACAAGACTTAACCGTATTATAAAGAGACTTTCTTGATGAAAGTGGGATTTTTAGACTAGTTTTTAGGGCCCTTTTGAGGCAAGAGACAAACTCCTCAATAGGCTTATACACCAGATTCAGAAATTATGAATGTCAAAGCTTGAATGATTAAAACTTTTTGTCCTAATGATTTGTCCTGATCATTTGTTATACAGTGGTGGGCTGTTTTGAGAGATTTTCTGATGTTCAATCTAAGGTTCGACGATATGTAGGAAAATCCCCAAAGGTACTGAAATTTTTCATACATTGTTTCTGATGTTCAATCTAAAGACCAATAAGTAGGGGAATCCCCAAAAGAGGAGGTACTGAAAACTTCTCAATATGTTTCTGATATTCAATCTAGAGACCAATAGGTAGGGGAATCCCCAAAAGAGGAGGTACTGAAAACTTCTCAATATGTTTCTGATGTTCAATCTAGAGACTAATAAGTAGGGGAATCCCCAAAAGAGGTGGTACTGAAAGCATTTCATGTTATTGTCATAAACATCTGATTCAGAAATTACACATATAGAGGGTTTTAGACAGAAAGGCAAAAGCTCGAATTTTGAAATATATTTCTTTTGAGAATGAAAACAAATGGTTTGCTTCAAGCTAGCATCTGATCATAGTTCAGCTTGAACCAAAGCAGCATTCACCAAAGTATTTAAACAAAAAAAGTTCAAAATAAAAAGCATACATCATCATTCAAATTTTTTAAAAACAGCTTATTCAAGTTTCGCCCTTTCGGGTTGAAACCCTCGATATAACAGATTTAAGTATCTTTATACAGTAGTAGTTGGAGTCGGAGCTACGTTGTTGGACGGTGGTGAAGGAGCGCGACCTGCTTCTGGAGTCGCTGAGGTGTATCCCTTATCTTTCCCTTTCGAGTTGCTAAAGGCTTTGTAGCCGAAGTAACCACCGATCCCTCCGATTGCAAGCAATGCAATAACTATAATAGCTATAGCCCATGGTGGGAAAGGTACATGGGGTGATGGGGTGGACAACGTAGGTTTTCCTCCTGTAGAATCTGAAATTGTTTTCAAAAAGTTAGTGTGATGTTTTTCGGAAAAGAGGAAAGTCGATAAGATGGCTTAATCATATGGCAAACCACGACCTCTCGTTCAGGTCCATACCAGTCTATCTCAAGTATGGGATTAGTTAGCCAGTTATTTTTTTCAGATACATAAACTTGACTTACGTAATTAAATTAAAAAGAAATTTGCTTAAAGAAAGGTCACGTACACCGAAACTATCTACCAAAAATACCAAAACTATGGTGAATCATAGTATAGAATTGTGCATCCGTAAATATGGATCGAGACGTAAAGCAGTTAATGTTAATATGATCAGAAAACATTAGGAGGTTGTGAATTGCACAAAACTGTCACGGAAAAGTTTCATTTTCATGATTTATATGCTAATTCAATCAATGCAGATTATGAGTTTATTTTTGTGCCTATAAACAATCATAAAGCGACTGATGAACTGAATGACAGATATTTCCAGTTATACTTTTATCCCAACAATACCTTTAGCAGATTTGCCCATCATATGCCAATTTCTAAACCCAAACAGATAAGTAATTTTTTCAAGAAAATGGAGTAATAATTTTGCATAGCAATTTAATTCATCTTGCGCAGCAAAGTTTAGGAATCAACTGATATAATGCACTGTTATCGAAGCATGCATGAAATAAATATATATAACCTGTAGTCGATGTGCTGGTAGGGGTGGCTGGAGTCCCAGAACCTGATAATATAGTAGATTGTTTGAGGTATTATTTGTACCAAGCACTTAAAACACTAAAATAATTGGAAGTTTATGAGGCTTTCTCAAACGCTTATTCCAACAAGATAGGATTGGGATTCAATCTGTGGGAGACGAAGGCTTATAGAGCATCTCTTTGAGTTACCAGTCCGGTATTGGATTAGTTAGCCAGTTATTTGTTTTCAGAAGCAAAGACCCGAGGAGGAAGCCGTAACAGACAAACGGTTACGTGAACCACTCTTACGATCAGCGAAGAGCAGCTATCCTCTCGAACATAATTATCCCACAGCGGATTCCAAACTACACACCCATGCAAGGTAACCAGAAATCTGATGGCTAGAGAGTTTCTAGAGCTCAACATGATGTCAAGCATGGGCCTTGACAAACAGATGTTGGCATTAAAATCTACTAGGAATGGAACATTTTTGATTAGGTTTTTGTGACTCGACACCCCATGGTGGCTGGCATTGGGTTCAAAAATTTAACCTGCAATTCTACACAGTCAATGATGAAGCCAACAATCCTTCAAATAAATTCTTTTAAAAAGAAATAAAATGAGGATAATTTAACAAATAAAAGAAACAAAAAAAGCAAAATAAAAAAAAACTATTATACCACCATTTATATATATCAGACAGCATAATCACATGCAAATTTAAACCTGGATATTCTGCCACTTTGAACCATACTAACATAAGGAAGCATGAAACAAAAGAGTTCTGGCTTTGCAAGTGTCCAATAGACAAGATTGGCAAAGATTTGCAAGGATGGCCAAAATGAATAAAATTTCCAAGTAGACTTTGAATTTTTATGAAAATTCTCTCAAATCAAGGTCACACACGTTCGCTCAGAAATGAAGGAGACTTATCTCTGAGCGAAGTTTTTAGCAACCAATGAAGAGCTACTGGGACTGAAAATATTTATGACGTTGAATCACATGTTAATAAATACGGATTAATGTGAGAATTGAAGCATTTCATGTGATGAAGTAGTGAATTATGGTACTCATAAGTGGAGTTCTTGGAAAATTTGTTGTTTTCGGAATATTAAATATGAATATTTGGAATGGTTTCCTTTGACTTACATTGCACTGTAATAGAAAGTTTACACAAATGAAGGAGTAAATTTTGTGTATGAACTTTGCCCAAAGACTGTTTTCAAATGTATTCATATATTAGAAATTATTCAAGTATCCCTTTTTTCTACCCCAACATCCCACATGCAAAAATATCATTTTGAAATTTAAAATAGTTGATTATTCGGTTTTGGCCACCCTTGCTGACTTAAATTCATTAATTTAAGCATCTTTAGACACATCACAAGCATGCGACAACAATTAAGACCTGGCTTCTCTACTCGTCCTTCTATATCACTGGTGGTGGTGGTAGGAGTCTCTAGAGAGGTGGTGGCAAGAGTCCCTAGAGAGGTGTTGGTGATTGGAGCTGAATTAATGATTATGATATGAAATTATGAAGCGCAAAAAATTTGCAATTTCGATTCCAAGTGATTCAAAAGTCCTGCTGCACACTAACGCAAATGTATTTCAGTAATGTTTCTTCCTCTTGGCCTACCTCAGATCACATATAGGATAGGATAGGATTTACATATTTATCCCGGGGGAGAGGAAAGCCGATAAGACGGCTTATCCATATGGCGAACCACGGCCTCTCGTCCGGTTACCATTCCAAGTCGGGTATGGAATTAGATTTACTGTATTGTTTGTTTTCGAAAGCATGGACTTGGTGGTGGAGGAAGCCGTAACCGACCAGCGGTTACGTGAACCACCCAACGACGGCGAGGAGTCCAGCAATCTCTCGCACATAACCATCCCTGCATGGGATTCGAACCTGCGAACCCACGCAGAGTAGTTAGAGGTGCGGTGGCGAGCGTATTCCTAACGCTTAGGCCCGTTGAGCCACACCGCCGCGCCAACAACAAGAAAAGCAGTTACATGCATATTTGAACAATGGGTGTAACACTATGAAAGATATAGAATCAATAAAATTTCTCAATTATTTGACGGCGTAAAAGGGGGGGGGGGGGGTAGACGAAAAAAAAAGGGTCATTGATCAGATCTCTGTTTTAAGTTTAGCAATTGAAGCTGAACAATGGTGGTATGGGTTTCTCAGCATTGGATGATGCAAACCAGAAAAGTTGTCTATGTTTCAAAAATAATTTGTCATGTTTTTGACTGTTGAATTTGATTAGATTAGTCTTTAAAATAAATGTGTATCAAAATGACACTATTCCAAAATTTCGTATTATGTAAGTGCACTGCACACTAACGCAAATTTATTTTTGTGACACCAAACATAAGTTTTGTCTGTGACATTGTCATATAGTTGAAGTCAGGGTTAGGGAAATCCTTAAATCCCTGAGTCGTAAGTTAAGTCACGAGTCAGTCGAAGTCAATAACTGATTAACCGAAATTTTTAGTCGCTGGGATTCAGGTACGGGCCAGAGTCCTTAAATTAGTCGACTTGAATCACTTCATTCATTCATCATGACATAAGTCATTCTTGAATGGTGACTGAGTCCAAATCACATGTCAAAGATATCTATATTTGAAGTCGGCCTTCAGTCAGATGAAACGTTACAGAAATACGAATGTGTTAGTGTAAAGCAAGACTCTTAGATCAAATATGATGAATATTTTAGTTCTCGCTTTTTTAAATCCGCGAGGCACAGAGATGAATAAGTAGTTAATCTCACAGAGAAATAGGTTTTTGTTAGTGTGCAGAAAGACTCTTGAATCAAATAGAATAATCATATTTACTCTTGCTAGAGCATCCTTGCATTATATGCATGCCATTTACCAGAGAAAAAATTATAGAGGAATGATAAGTACTAGATCAGCCCCTCATTACCCTGATTTGATAGCTAGAATCTCAAATTGGCTTCTATTGCGAGAGATCAATGATCCAACTTTTTTCTAGTTCGGGGTTCTTAATTTTTATTCTGTAATTCTAAGTGATATATACCACGTATTTTAAAAAAGCGCTAGGTGTCGACAGTTTCTCTAAGTGAAAGCAACATAACATCTGTAATGCAACAGAGTAGTCGGAGAGTAGGTTTCAAACTTCACTCTTAAAAAGGCTCTTGACAAGATGTCACTGTTGTTACTATTATTGGAATAACAACGTAGCGAGTCTGATGTTTTACACCATAGTTCGGTCGGGTTGACCCTAAAAAGTTTGATATTTCTTATACATGAATCAAACATGCCAGGTGCAATACCGGAGGCCAATCTATCTTTGGAAGTACCATTATTTATTTAGTTTGGTACTGAAGGCCCAATTTTCTACATTATGGATAAACTGGACACTAAGAGCCTGGAATCTTTAATTTGTAATGCTAACATAAAGTAGGCGTGAGAAATACCACCACTGGTATTTTTGGTTCAAATATTAACTCCCATTGCCTTGTAGGACCTTGTAGTAAATTTTTTAGAACTTATGGATAAACGGGACGCCAAAGAGTTTTAATAAAATCTGGAACCTTCGGTTTGCAATGCAAACATATATTAGGCACAATGAAACCGCTAGTATTTTTAGTTTCAACATCAACCCTTCACTTTGTAGCCCTCAAGTAATTTTTTTGGATTGGTTACCCCTAAACATAACATTAGCCAAGGCAAATTATAACATTTATACGCCGAATTACACCAATCATTATAGATAAGGAAGCATAACATCAAATTTTGCTTTGAAGGACGAAGGCATGCATCATGCTGCGATAATGACCTGTAGCTGGGCTTTCTGTCGATCCTGGAGAATGAGTGGTGGATGGAGTTGTAGATGAGGTGGTGACAGAAGAAGCTGAATACGCATTGGTAAAAGTAAGTCACACAAAACTGTTCCAATATCTCATAAATTTTAGGTAAAATAATCCCATAGCATTCAGGACTTAAAAATAATAATAAGCAATAGCCTTCTCCAATCGACAAGCACTAAAAATTCAAAATCAAATGCCAATAAGTTGCAAAGAAAGAGATTTCTCCCTACCCTATAACAATTAGGCTGAAAAGTCTATATGCCTACTTTGTGCCCAATAATATGCGTTTTAGAACTGATCAAACATGATGCCTATTAAAGTCACTTCAATATCAGGATAACTTCAATATTTAATTTAAAATTTCAATAATATTTATCTCAGGAGAGAAAATGATGATTCTCCCCTCCAAGTCATTCATATGAACCAAATAACTAATTTACTATTCCAATACTTGACATGGGCTGGTAATCAGATGAGAGGCTTTGGTTCGGCATTAGATTAACCCATTTCGTCAACTTTCCTCCCACCCCGATAAACCTATTTGGTATAAGTTTGAATCGGAATCTCAAAATATCATGTCTCCTTTTCCTGTTTTGGTCGACTTTACCTGCTTTGGTGTTCAAGTAAGCATATGAGATAGGATTTCTGTTATGTGACACGAGTAAATGGACAAGTGCAACAATAATACAACAATATTAATTTAAATTTTTTTTAAATATTATTGATTGAAATTTACAGTGATTCGTGCAAATTACACTGATGATAATTCAGAATATACTTTGTACTTAATTCAACTTCTAACACTGATTAAAAATAGAGTTATGCATAAATTACTTTAACTATTGTGTGTTACTAAATTAAATTTTTTTGTTAAACTATATACTTTTTCTTCGTTCCGCGAGGAATTTTATTGTTTTATTATTTTTCTGTCGGCAAAGCCGATAGTTGGTTGCTTGAACGTTTTTTTTTGGTGTTTATTATTTTTTGTTCTAGTCTGTCCATAAACACTGAAGTACTTTCCTTAAACACAGGTTATTATTTATATTTCATGCATTCCCAATATTCTGTTGCCCGCCCGCGAAGTCATTCTTTTTTACTACAGCCTCACTAAAATCGCCCTTTTTCTAAATTGCATGTTCATAGTTCTAGCCATATTCAAATTTGACGGCATCAGGAGGTGAAGTTTTAAATTTGGTCAGAAAAAAAATGTGCGTCATGCAATAATATTGACCTGTAGAAGTTTGCGTGGGTTCCACAGACCCGGTGGTGGTTTGAGTCTCAGATGCAGTGGTGGTCGGAGCTGAATAAATGTAACTAAATATATGATATACTTGTCGCCCTATTTTAAATTTCAAGCAGGGGGATTCCGGCCAGTGACGCAGCCAATTGAAATTTTTGGGAGACAAAAAAAGTCGCTAATAACATTGCGAATTCCGATCATTGGCCCTCCTGGTTGAATCTACGAATATTTTTTATTTTAGACACAACTTTCATTCTACACAAGGCTATGCACAACAGCCAATGTAAGGTAACAAACTTTATTGTTTTTCTAGTTCGGTATTGCCTGCTCAATTTACTACATCCTGGTGGTAGGGACGTAGCCAGGGTGGGTTCTGGGAATATTAAGCCTACAGCCCTATTAAAATGTTAGATTATTGCTTCACCCTTTATTAATAATTCTAAATCACCCTTCCCTAGTTCTAACTATCACCTTTGCAAAAATCATTTTAAATTTAGCGGAATCAGGAGGTTGGTTCAGGTAAGACTGCGATGTCGCATAAATTTGTTCAAAAAATTAAAAAAAATTGTGCCTCATGCAATGATATTGACCTGTAGAGGTTTGCGTGGGTTCCGAGATACCGGTGGTAGTTTGAGTCTCAGATGCAGTGGTGGTCGGAGCTGAATAAATGTAACTGAATATAATGAACTAGCACATGATTTCGGTAGAGAGCTGAATTTAATTACTTTCCTATATTGCAGTCAAAATTTGGGTGTTGAACCCAGGAATTTTTAAGAGCGGGGATCTGAAATTTCTAATCGCCAAATAGGACCGTAACAGCTAGCCGATCCAAAACTCGTTTCAAGCGATGAAAAATTGCTATGTACGATACAGAAAAATGCCCTATTTTACATTTCAAAAAGGGGGGTTCCGGCCAGTGACGCAGCCAGGGGGGTTTTCTAAGTCAAAACAGATTTGAAGTTTTTGGAAGACTATAAAAGTCGCTGAAAACGTGTGCAAATTCCGACCCTCAACTTTCCTGGATATCCCCCTGGTTGAACCTACGACTATTTTCCATTTTAGACACGACTTTCATTCTACACAAGGCTATGCACAACAGCCAATGTAAGGTAACAAACTTTATTGTTTTTCTAGTTCGGTATTGCCTGCTCAATTTACTACATCCTGGTGGCAGGGACGTAGCCAGGGTGGGTTCTGAAAATATTGAGTCTACAGCCCTATTGAAATGTTAGATCATTTCTTCACACTTTATTAACAATTCTAAATCACCCTTCCCTAGTTCTAACTATCACCTTTGCAAAAATCATTTTAAATTTAGCGGAATCAGGAGGTTGGTTCAGGTAAGACTGCGATGTCGCATAAATTAGTTCAAAAAAAAAAAAAATTGTGCCCATGCAATGATATTGACCTGTAGAGGTTTGCGTGGGTTCCAACATACCGGTGGTTGTTTGAGTCTCAGATGCAGTGGTGGTCGGAGCTGAATAAATGTAACTGAATATAATGAACTAGCACATGATTTCGGTAGAGAAATGAATTCAATTACTTTCCTATATTGCAGTCAAAATTTGGGTGTTGAATCCAGGGGTGTACCCAGGAATTTTCAACGGCATGGGATCTAATATTTCTAATTGCCAAATTAGGCTGCAACAGCTAGTCGATCGAAAAAGCATTTCAAGCTACGACAAATTGCTATACTTCCTTCCCTTCAGGAGTCATTCTCAACAGACAATCAAAGAAGGCCTACTTAAGCCAATGATTGCTGCTCGATTATTTATGTTCGGAAATATAATCTCAGAATCTATTTAAAATCATCGCTGTGGAGCCGGAAGTAGGTGGGTTTCGAATAGTATTGGAGACTTATTTTGGAGTCACTGGATTTGAAAAAATGGAATTTCAAAATTTAATGGCGATATTTTATCAACAGAAATTCAACAAAATTTGCCCAAATTTACTTTCCCAGAACTAGTCAGAGCCAAAATTTCATTTCTTGCCCACCAGGAGTGTGTAGTTCTTTTCAAATGGCTCAGAGTTGGGTGGGAATTTCACAGAGTCTACAGCCCAGTTTAAAATGGTAAGTTACTAAGTTTTAATTCACTCTTCTATAGTAAGTTTTTTTTTGGAACTGGGCTGGAGCTAACAATCAAAATATTTTCAATCTGCAGATTTAGAATTATTTTTAAATGGTTTAGAATTTGTGTATTCAATTGTGACACCCATGTTTGGAATAGTACATTACTTAGTTTCAACTATTTTCAATTGCAACACTTTTACCGAAATTTTGAATCACACACCCCTAGTTGTAGCTATCACCCTATCACCTCTGCAAAAATCATTTTGAATTAAGCGGAATCAGGAGGTTAGCTCAGGCATGATTGCGGTGCCGCATAAATTATACATTCATTCAGAAAAAAGCTGAACTGAAATTGTGCGTCATGCGATGATATTGACCTGTAGGGGTTTGAGTGGGTTCCACAGCACTGGTGGTAGTTGGAGTCTCAGATGCAGTTGTGGTTGGAGCTGAATAAATGGTAGTAAACATGAATGAACAAGCACATGATGGCGATAGAGGTTCAAATTTAATTACTTTTCTATATTGCAGTCAAAATTATCCCGAACAAATCTTTACGTGTTTCTCGAGACTTAGTGTGAAAACATATCAATTCAGCGCCCCTTACCCTATCTCCATCTTTTCACACACGGAACCTGGGATATGGACGTGCCATAAACTGACTATTGTACATATCGCCGTTGTGCCGTACCTCTTTGTCTTGTGTATTTTACTAGAGTTTTATTTGGTCAATTTCATGTCTGTTGTCCTAGTATAACGCAGCAGTCCTAAACTGCTGTTATCATTGTTAGGGGTGCATGTCGCACATCTGTGTCTTAGGCCAGTAAGGTCTTGAACATGTATCCCATCTCTGTTTTACTGTTTAATTGGGGCTCCCGAAGTATGCGAACCAAGATGGCGGACATCGGAATGTAATATCTGTACTAGGTTAAGGTTAGGCCTTTTATTTTAGGTATAAATACTACGGGAGGCTCTTGGCTAGTCTTCGAACTGATAATAGGACTAAAATAAGGAAAATTAGAAAAAAATTATCGCCTAACCCTAACCTGTTACCCATGTTACGTTCCGATGTCCGCCATCTTGGTTCGCATACTTCGGTAGCCCCGTTCAATTATTATGCATATACTGTTACATTTTTGAGGCAAATGAACATACATACATACAAATTAGGGTGTTGAACTCAAGAGTCGCAGCCAGGAATTTTTAACTCCGGGACATCTGAAATTTCTAATTGCCAAGTCAGACCGTAACAGCTAGCCGGTCTGAAAAGACTTTCAGGCTACTTTATATGATACAGAAAAAAGTTTTTTTTTCTACATTTTCAAGGGCGGTTCCAACCTCTTTTCTAGTTACGAATAATTGCTATATATGATACAGAAAAATGTGACCTCCTGAAGTATGCGCACCAAGATGACGCACAACCTGAACTCAGGTTGAGTACCAGGTTAGGGTTCAGGTTGTGCGACATCTTGATGTGCATACTTCAGAAGCCCCCCAAAATTTTTTTTTTACATTTCGAAAGGGGGAGGGGGGGTCTGACCTGACCATGGGTATGAAAAAATTTTACAGCAAGGTTTTCAAATTAGGTTTCAATTTGTTTCTGTAACCAACCGTTTGGCAACATCACTCTGAAATTTTCGTACCCCAATTCTATGATTGCCCAAAAAAATATTGCTCTCATACATAAATACCAAATTCATTGCACTCATTCTTTTTTTTAAGCATTCTCAACTGACTATTAATAAATGCTTGCTCAGGCCAAAGTTTTCGTTATTAATATTGGTACACACTGAACTGGTGCTAATACTCCTTCCAACCTCCTTCGCAGCACTAAAAATTTTATTTTTTAATATGAAAATTTTCTTCACCCTGAAAACTTAACCGGTATAACACCCCCTTTTGTCTGCTTCAATTGTACTAGAAATCAATAACATAAGCTTGATTACATGTTTAATCACTCATGACAATATAATTAAACGCATGCAGCTTCGATGAAAAATTATCAGTGAAAATGATATTATTTACCATTAATTAGAAATTAGTTTGACCAAAAGAACATAGGATAAAAAAACAAGGCCAACATGCCCTCCAAACCGTCTGTATTTTTTTACTTTGTTAACCTTCAAAATACACAAAGTCTAGGACACTGAATTACTGGGCCACACAGACATTTTCAGGCAGGCAACAAATCTATTAAAAATGGCTCTCTGAGACTTACTGATAACTTAATTGAATTTCATTGTATTAGTAATGAATGATGAAGCTATTTTTTTATACTAAAAGGTGATTCATATTTGATTATTAAAGTGGATTTGTCTGTCCTTGCAAAAAGAATTTTTTGTTTTTCTTCTCATTTTACTCTTGCATTAGAAATTTAATAGGCAACAGATTTTTTTGTGCAATATAAGTGGGCCCCCCAAAAAAAGGGTTGAGAAACGCTGACTGAGGATTTTGTACGTCAAATAGACAACACCTAATTACAGTGAACTGGAATAATGGATAAACTCAGAAACAGAAAATTTTACTATGGGGACACCTAGTGGCAGTCTACTAATGAGAAAAATCGAATATGAAAAATAAAATGAGACATAGGATGAAATAATCGACAAAAAGTTAAAATTTGCACAAACAAATGAGTAACTTAAGTACATTATGGCAATTTAAAAAAAACACTGTATTGCTTCACATTATCTTGTAGATATTTTTTTTCCTTTAAAAAAACCTTTACCATGTCTCGTCAAAGTTTACTTTAAAATCGAAAATTCCAATTAATCCAGAAATAATCATCCATATATTGTTGTTTAAAAGTAATTGAGTACAGTTCCCACAGGAAAATGTAATTTTGAACAACTGAAGTCCCACAAGAAAAAGCAAAAAGGAGGCGTGGGAGGGACTAGCTCGACAAACATAACATTTGTCCAATCAAATAAATATCTTATTTTTGAAACAACTTGAGAAAAATCATTGAAAAATGGGGAAGCCCGAGTGATGAGTGCCCATTTTATTGTTTATTTTAGTTTTCCCCAAAACAGACAAACCTTTGAAAAAATCGCATTTTAGATACAAAGTTTCAATTATCTAAAACAAAGGTTCTCAAAATACTCCAGACCAGGGTTTTCTAAACTTGGGGGACATGGACCCCTGGAGGTCTGTGACAACTGCACAGGGAGTCCGCAATGATATTAAAAAAGTCTCATCGATATTTATTGATTGATTTTGATCAAATAGCAACTGCATATTCTTGTTTGAGCGTTGCGGGCGAATATCCATTGCTATCAGAAAAGCCAAAAAATTTTATTGCCTTTTTGCAACGACCTACATGCGTGAGGCTGCATTTTCACCTCTTATCAATGTGATAACAAAATACAGGTTGAGACTGTGACTTGTGTTGTAAATGAAACATTACCTTTACTCGTTGGTTAGACACAGAAATTGATATGGCATAGGATGGGGGCCCGTCAAAACTGAGATTCACAATTAGGGGTACGTGGCCCTAAAAGTTTCTGAAACTCTGCCCTATACGGAGTTCCATGAGAGGAACCTAGTGGCTCCGTGAGCTATTCGTTCGTTTCATGGCATGGTGAGTGTAATGTGTGTGCATAACTAGTATAGGGAGAAAATATAGTGTGCTGATGTCTAATATCAACGTTTGAATCAATTTTAAAATATTTATGCCTCAGGATAATTGGACAAATAGCAAAAAACATGGAAAAGACTGGGCGAGCAGTCTGATCAGTGTATCAGTCAAGATTTGGAAGGTTACTTATTTCGATTTTCTTAAAAGATAAATTTGTGATAAAAAGGGCGGAACAAAAAACTCAAAAATGAAATTAAAAAAAAAATAAATTTAACCACACCAAACTTAAAGCCAACGAAATAAATATCTCATGGCAATCGAAGAAAAAACATTGAAAAGAATGATCCAGAATGGAAGCCTAAAAGATGTAGTACTTCACATTTCACATTTATTTATTTTCTTTTAAAAGGCACAGATTCTTGATAAGACAAGTAGTGGAAACCAAACACATTTTGAACCCAAATTTTTGATTATTTAAAGTCCTTCCAGAAGTAGTTAAACTTGTCAATTATAATAAACCATGGTATTAAATTATAGTTCTTCCTTTCCAAAATCATACATTTACTTCATATTAGAATGACCAATATAAAAATCATTCGAATCATTTGGGACACCTAGCGGCCCGTAGTTGACATAGAATCGCTCAATATTGAAATTGATAAAAACAATTATTTTTATCTTGATAACTGAAATATTGAAGAAAAAAAACACTGAAAAAATTATAAACATGACATAGAATTATGAAGACACTAAATGTTTAAGCATGATAAATAATCTGCAAGGGATGCATTTGGGTATTCATAAACATACCCCATTTTGAGATTTCAACAAAAATTATGTAGACACTGAAAGTTTGGGCATGATGAAAATAAATAGAGATGCATTTGGGTATACCAACCATACCCAGGAGACCTCCATCTCCCTATTTTCTAATTTCGACAATCTTTTTTAATATTTTTACTTGTGCTTTATTATTTAAATATATATCTCATGACTTGTGGAAACCTGAGATTATTTTCAAAAGCTCTTACAATTCACTGTATAAACAAAACACAGGAGAATATTTTGTCAGCCAAACTCGAACTGGTTAGGTAAATATACAACTAAAGGGCTCCAAATACCTCTGTCAGTGTTTACCAATCTTTTTTCGTTAAATTCCTATTTACTCTCAAATCTTTTTTCAAATTTCCATGTTTTGTGATTTATTTATCACTATTCATCGTCATGATAAAGTTTGACGGTATAGACCAGATGTGTGCAGCAGGCGATCCGCGGGCCACAACCCCTCCCGCCAAGCCACTTAGTGTGACCCTTGTCGTCACTTAAGATTTTTCCTATCAAGAATTGATTATTACTAATTCGACAGTCTATGTTTGAAAAGGCCCACACGTGGGTAAAACACATAATGTTAGGTCTTGTCGCTGCATTAAATCTTACATCGTTTTTTTCCGGTGGATTTCTGTAAGAATAAGCGATAGCATCTCGCCTTCCCTGCTAAATTTTTTGTGTGGCCTGGTTATTAAAGGTGGTTACGTGGCCCGCGGATAAAAATGTTGCACACTACTGGTATAAACATTGAAAACTTTAGCTTGACTTACATCAATTGGGCATTTATTCGTAAGTCACTAAGTTGGTCTATTTTTCAACATTCAGTACTTAACTTATTTTTTAAAACTAATATCCTTCTTTTATTCTAATTCAAAATACAAGGTGGTCGCTAGAAAAACAGAAAATTTGTCAATCATCTTTATAAAAATATCTTTTTTCAAAGGCATATGTTATATTACACTCATAAATGCTTAAAATGTTGTCCGCAAACTTCAGAGCAGTGTCTTAACCTAGAAGTTCAAGCTCGTGTAGCGTTTTGAATGT